ACATCACCTGGCCACCTACCCTTGTCCCAGGTGCCACAGACCCGATCGCCAAGCGGCTTCTTAAGAGGGTTTCATGTTCCTCAGCACGGCCTGGCGAAAGTGCCAACGAAATAACTCATCGGGCGGGCGACTGGGATTGTCGAGGAAAGTTTGGTCTAGATTCCGACCGGCGATTCCGTAGTAACTCAGATCTGGTGTGAAGCACACGATCTTGTGGTTATCCTACACAATTATCAGCCACACTCAATGAAAAATTGATGAATTCATACATCAGGGTTAATAGACCAAGAATAGTTGTCGAAGGCGTAGTGCATTTCACGCGTCAGCAAGATACCATTTTGAACCGAGTTAATGGTTCCATGGGCCGGATTAGGAGGCGGAATGGTGATATGACTACCGAAATTACCAATATCCCACTGTGCTTGGAAGGCCAGAGGAATAACATGAGCGGCTTCGAAACCGCTCCACCAATTCATGTTTGCTAGTATGACAGGCCTTAATGTTGCTATACAGCGCTTATCGCGCATGCGTACAGCCTTCCTGAACGACCCACAGCGGGGCCCGGTAGGGCGTGATCCCGCTCTACAGTGTGCAACATCTTGGGTTACGGTCACTTTGCCTACTCCATGTAAGCGGCATGCAATAATTAATGTGTAAGAAATATACCATTTGTGGTGATGTAATAGGTACCGGGCTCCAGCCCACTGGCATCCCTTTCGATCAATTCATCATTCTTGTCGTGTAGGGTGAAAGTATCGGTAATACAACAGACGACCTCGGTCATGAAATAGAGGGCCTCATTAGTAATGCCGCCACCGGCCCAGAGGCCTCCAAGTAGTTTATCACGATTGTCGGAGCCGTATATGTGTGTATCGTGCCACGCGGAGCGGTTAAATGGCGCCATCCTTGTTTGCTGACCGGAGGTACAGGATGGTTCAAATTATCGAGGGGGGGAAGCCGAATTATCCTAGGGGAGGGGAAGAATGTGTGCACCCAGGTTGGTTGTTGGTTAGAGGGGAACTTCGGTTCGTATTCCCAGAGGGGAGCTCTTACTCAGCTGGGTGGGGCGTAGACCCTAAGCGGGACAGGCACCGGGCAGCATTACTAAGGGTTTTGGTCTTTTAACAAAAACTCTTTCAACACAACTACATATAACTACACCACCTCCGATGATAGATCTGGGATACTGGCATGGCTATCTACATTAGAACCACGGGTGCACCATCGAGATATTAGAGCCCGGCGGATCCACTGTATAGCGGCATGGCTGGTGGAAACTGAAGAATTCACACTCTGGCACAATGGAAATAGAGGATGGATCTTGTCACCCGACCTTATTTTCCGACCGAAATCCGGGAGTGGGAAAAAGCTATATCATTTAAGTGAGGCTATAGCTTATCATGGCGAGTAACTAAAGCATACTATTGCTATCAGTCACGAAGACAGTTCACTTGTTATAGGCAAGCTATGCAACGAGGCCGCCGAGGAAGACCTACCGTTACGTGTTTTTACTTCCACTTTACTGCTCAGAAAGAGCAGTCACCGGTGTATATGCTTGGCTCCCTACTGAGACAGCTCGTGGGCAGACAGAAAGAAATTCCTGAATCGATAGCGAAGGATTTTCGAGAGGAGAAGGGGTCGATTCGGGGTAGAGGAACACAAGTTTCGGGGATTTTGAAGTTGTTCGAGACATTCGCAACCACCAGGCGCACATTCATATGTGTTGACGCACTTGATGAATGAGTACCAGAGTATCGAATGGTGGTTCTTGAATCGTTAGGCCAGATGCTGCGAGGGTCTCCAAATACTTCCTTATACATGACTAGAAGACCGCACGTGCGGAGTGAGGTGGAGAGGGAGTAGAGCGACCACCTTTATACTTATACAAGCTACGGAAGACGAGATTCTTAGATTTCTGGGCGAGAAACTCAGGAAGGATACGATCTCAAGTATGATGGACAGCACATTGGAGGGAGATATTATGAAGAGCATTGCCACAATCAGTTCCAAAACGTATGTAGGAACAAGGCCGATGGTAAGGCTTCCTTAAATCAATAACTGAAACATTTGAACCTAGTTTCCTGCTAGCCTCTCTCCACATCGAGGCAATCCTGAGCGGTACCACAATTGCTCGGCGGAGAAAAACACTCAAGTCAATCCAAGATGGGGAAGAGTTAGGGGATGAATATAGTGCGACATTGGAGCGTATTAAGGTTCAAGATGAGGAAAAGGCCAAGCTTGCGATGGCCACTCTCATTTGGATCTGTCATGCAGAGCGGCTGTTACTGGTAGAGAACTGTGTCACGCGCTGGCGGTGGAGAGAGGACTAGCAAATTTCGATGCCGAAAACATTCCTTCGATTAGCACGTTGTTAGACTGCTGCCAAGGCCTGATCACAGTAGACCTAGAGGCTACGACTGTACGGTTAATCCACGGTCTAGGAATACCTTGGATATCATCCAGGTCTCTTCACCGGACCTCACTCGGTGCTTGCAGAAACCTGCATAACCTATCTTAACTCAGAATAGGTAAAGAACATCACACCCCATTCGCTCCCATACTATGGAAGCATGCCATTCCTCAAATATTCGGCGAGGTATGGTTAAAATATAATAAAAGAGAAGAAGCTTGGCCTAATACGAGAATTAATAATGCAAGTAATAGTAACTATTGCTAGCCACGTTTGTTATAGTATCAAGACATAAATCTTTAATAATACCTAACCCCGAATACACGCTGAAATTACAAGCAAACCTAGGCAGTAGGAAAATAGGTTATTTTCGGTTAACCTAAAAGTCTTGGACACCTATCATACATGGGTGGCGAGACCTGAGAGAAGTGTAAATACGGCTTATTAAACCTAGCGGATTCGGCAGCCATAAGACAATAGTTCAGCAACAAGACAATGCCCTTCCACGACTTAGATTTTTCCAATACAGCAACGGGCCTAAGGGATATATTTCCTTGACTAATAGATAGTACTATCATATCACCTTCAATTTATTACCCAAACTCGGATTCTGGACTTCTAGTACCCAGGCCGAGTATTATTCGCAGAGCCTTCCGTAGCGTAGAAATTACGCTACAGCGTTACACATTCTTCGGGATCCTATCATGTCATCACCAGCTCGTCGAACTGAAACCGATGCAATCCCGCCGCCCGCTGCCGCTACTCCCACTCCCGCTTCTTTTCGTGAGGGAGTGAGTGGTTTGCACCTCCTCCCATCTCAACAGTTACACTTCAAGGCACACCAGCTGCTATCCCTTGGACGGAAAGTACGGGTACAAAAAGATCCGTACGGCAACGCAACGGCAACCCCACTACCACTATAAATTTATTACCCCTACAACCACAACTACTTAGGATAAACTGAAAATATGTGTAGACATACAATAGATATAAGAAAAGCTATATGTAAAATTAGAAAACAAAAAAATCAATACTTGGTATACCATCTCCTTGCATCTAAGACAGCAGCAACTCTACTAGGCATAGACTCCCACAACCTTTCCAGAAAATCCCCCTCAATATCCTGAGTCCAAACCTGATTTAGAGCTACTGCTAGATGTTTTCTAACAGTATCTGGGCCCCCCTTGGTCTTGTGGATGTTGGGAAAGCACTGGTGTAGCTTTTCCTTCATCCTCTTCCAACAGTGCTCAATAGGATTGAGGTCAGGAGAATTGGGTGGCCATTCCATAACCTGTATGTTGTTTTCCTTAAACCAAGCCATGGTATCTCTTGTAGTATGTATCTTTGCACCATCCTGCTGAAAGATAGGATCCCCAACTGTGTCCTCCACCTCCTGCCAGATATCAACTAAACCATCCTCCAAAACTCCAATATATACAAATCTATCCACACTCTTGTCAAAAATAGGAATCAGAGGACCCTTATTTCTGCCCCAAATACAAGCCCAAACCATCAGCTTTATCTCTGGCCCTTTGGTAACCCCATGAATACAGTCTTTGTGCCACTTTTCTTCAGGTGTTCTGAATACCCATATACCCTTAGGATCCTTAGACTTTTCAACCAAGGATTCATCACTAAAGATGACTCCTTCAAAGTCTTCCTTTGTCCAATCCTTATACTTCATTGCCCAAGCTAACCTCTTAACAGCATGCTCATCCTTTAGAAGAGCTCTTTTCCTAGCTCTCCATTTCTTTATGTTGACTGAGGCCAAAGCGCTCTTGCGTGTTTGGAGGGAGGAATGTGGTGCAACATCATTGCGCAATTCTGTGAAAGTCTGGCGGTGTGCCTTCTTAGACTCTCTGACTAGGCGGCGGTGGGTTCTGGAATCGATAATTTTAGGTCTTCCAGGTATAAGAAGGTTTTTTGCATCACCCCTCTTTTGGAAGCGGTTATGGAAAGCTTGAATAGTACTCTTTGGACGGTTTAAGAGCTCTCCAATTTCTCCCAAAGAGATGTTTTTTTTTCTCAGAGCAACTATTTTCCCTTTCTCAAACTCTGTAAGGTAGCCTGTCTTGTGTGGAGGAATTGTGGTTGAGGGGTGGTTGATCATAGGGGCGGGGTGTTTTGAGTTGTCGCGTGGTAACTACCGATCGTACGGATCTTTTTGGCCTAGTACTTTATAAGACTAGTGTTGTTCACGAGCCGCCAAGACATTTGAGGCTGAGTGGCCACGATACCCCTGCACACTGCTATTATCATTCAAAAAATAACCAACAATTGTATATCGCAACTTGAAAGTATATACAACTAGCCAAAGAACCTTCCCACTATGCCCAATTCCAATTCCACACGGGCTTTCCTCTACCTCTTCCCACATTTCCACCTCTGGCTCGAGTCTCTTGGCGTTTATTGGCGTTTATTGGCGGCTCGAATGAGGCTCGAGCCTGGATCGAGCCCGCTCGGCTCGTGAACAACACTAGACGGACGGACTGGACGCTTGGGAACACTGGATGTCACACAAGTCTTGCAACGAACTTGAGAGTCTCTTCCATCTAAGACGTATTTGGAAAGACAGCATTACTAGAAGCCTGGTTTCGTGGTGTAGTTGTTTATCACACCAGTTTAACACACTGGTGGTCTCCGGTTCGAGCCCGGGTGAAATCATTTCATTTTATTGAAGCTCATTCAATAGGTTGAATTTTTTACGTAATCATATATGTTCTGACGGGTTTATCAAAACGTACACATCTTATCTGATCTACCACACGCATGAAGGTGACTAAGCTGGGTTATTCCAGTATGGGTAGCGGGCTGTGTACCTCTCATCACAACAACCTATAATGGGCTTGGCGATGCTCGACTTAGAATTCCGTAACAGCACATAAGTCCTACCTAGTTTTAATTATACAGAACATAGTATACCGTGCGGTAGAGGGGCTGCTAGTAAGCATGGTCTATTGAGCTTGTAGAGGAATCCCTGATTGAAGCCGGGACTTGAGTACGGCTCGAAGCAAAACCATCTCCTGATTTATTAAGCATCCTTCATGAATAAAACTGAGGGACTTGGCTTCTCTGCTAGTACCACCCGCTGGGGGGAAGGATACCCTACGTTGCGATTACTGCAAAATAGCCTAGTAACTTTGGTCCAACTCCAGCTCATTACGACGATCACTCCAAACACAAGAGTTAAAAGTTTCGCACAAACTAACCCTTGAGGAAAACGCGCTTTTGTAAACGGTCGTAGTAGGCAAATCATCATTAAAAATATGGAAAAGAGAATCTCTCGATGGGATTTCGAAGCTGAGAAAGAAGAAGCCACCCAAGTGCCCTCTGCCATTTCATAACACCCTCCTCCTCCCTTCTTTCCCCTCATTGATTGCTGTCCCCCCCTTCCCTATCTCCATATCCCCTTCTCTCCTTGTCCCCTACTATGACTACAACCCCCTACCCATCTGGATATTAGCACGAGGGTAACTAACATACAAATCTTTTGGCATACATGCAGGCTATGTGCGACATTGCGAGGGATAGAGCCAAAAAACTCACCCCTCAAAGAACTGTATGAAGTATAAAAGCCACCGGAACGAGTTATGACAAGAACAAATAAGAATGACAGAATACAAAATTTGACGAATCCCCTCCTAATAAAGCGCAAAGAAGAAAAGGAAGAAAAAAACGTTGTACATATCCGGAAAGCGATCGATCGAGAGAACAGAAATTAGAAAGGAACTAAAAAAAAAATGTGTTTTTGCTTTCTCCTAAAAGGTTGGCTCCATTACTCCGCGTCTCCCAAATGACCAATTCCCGTTACCCCACTCGAAATATCATCAACACCACGGGGAGAAAAAGGAAGAAAGCAAAAAAGAGAATACAAAAAAATATAAATACATCAGGGCTGAATAATCCTCTTTTTTTTTTACAGCGAAGCCCCCCGACTTCCCCACCCCCTTATTTGACATAGGTAAGCTTCACTATTGACAGAATTGAGAAAAGTAGTTAGCATTAGCATTTTTGAGGAGGTAAAAGAAAAACATACCATCGTACAGCCAGTGGGCATCGGCTGGCGCCCCCGGAATTTCCTCGTCCTCCCCGGTGCAGAGCGCCGGTGGAATATCCAGCCGGCGCTCCCCTCCGACACGCATCCCTAACAGCCCAATCTCCCACCCCGGAATCATCTCCCCCTCCCCCATTACAAAGACAAATGGTAGCCCATCCATGTTGTCGTCGAAGACCACCCCACCCTCCACCATCCCCCTACAATGAATATATAGCTTCGCTCCCTTAATAGCGGTTAAGCCTGTTCCAACCTTGACATCAGTGATCTTCATCCCTTCTACCACCCACTCCTCGCTACTCGACGCAACCCCCCCCTCGCCAAGGACTCGAGTCTCGGAGGGTCCTGAACGTGCGGCTCTCTTAGCTTCCTCCTCATTGGAATTAGTAGTCACTTGAACTGTCTTGCCATCATTCCCTTTGAGCTTTTTATGTTGCCTCTCGGGAAGTGTGTTCTGAATGTCGCTCTGATTCCGGGGAGCAAGCTTTATTTCGTCAATGGCTTCATCCTCCGCATGGCGCTTCCGGGATGTTTTGTGTACATTCTTATCACTAATACCGGCCCCCTCGACTTTCTCATTATCGTTAGTCCCATAATCGTTGGGCTCCCGGGAGTCTATTTGCCCATCTGGGCAATGAGTATTGCAGGCTGGAGAGAGGTCAGAATCATCGTCATGCCTGCTATAGATGACATCTGCATCTCCTGTGTGAGAGACATAATGACCTGTGAGATAGACATCACAGTTTCCTTCGACTTTAAAGTAAACGAACTGGTCGCGGCGGATGATAAGGTTTAATGGCTGCCTCTGCTTCTACAACAAGTTAGCTATTAAGTTCTAAAGTGTTATCGCCTAAACACCCTACCTTGGCCGAGTCTAGGCTGCAGACGACAGAGGCTCCCAAGGTCTGAGAGCTCACAGCGTCCTCAATAGAGATGTTACTGGCATTGTTAACATCAGTTGTACTGCTATTTCCCATCATGCGTTTTGTTGGCGGCACCCCTTTGTCGGAATCGTCATCAGAGTCTTTGCCGGAGTAGTAATCGGAGTCGGTGAAGTATTCGGACGCAACAGTCAAGGCTGCCCGGCCCAGACCCCTCCCGTCACAAGACTCGATGGGAGGATCTATCGCCACTCCCGTTAAATGAATCTGCATTCATTAGTATTTCTGATGAATCGAGAAAAAAGAACTTGAATCCTTACGGTAGCGGGGGAGACATCAGCGGTAGGTGGTCGGCTCTGGCCCGGTGAGATGTGTAAGCTCCAAGGAGCAGGCGGTAGGTGAGAAGGCATTTTTTTATCGCAATTACTATAAACTCTTAACACGGTAGCAGTAAAAAAGGTTGATAATGTATGAGTGTGGATGATAGTGGATGGGGAGAAGAAATAGGAAAGTGGACGTGGCCACAATATATAAGTGTGAGGCCCCCCACGCTAACGAATTCCCAACAGGACTGTTTTTACTGTCCCCTCAACTTAGCGAGTGTTTCAACTGAACCATGCACACCCATCACAAAAAAAGAATCTCACTGGACGAACACATTTCAAGCTAGTGAATTTTATAGACTAACCTAACATTCTACACGGACTTAATAGCCAACACCCAAAAAGCTCAAACGATCCCAAACCTAATGTTAGTGGTAGATAAAAAGAACGGCACGAACAGTCTTAATCTACAAATCATGCAAAACAGGGATAGAGGTATGACGTTATAAATATAAGGCTGCCATCACACTAAGCCATCCTCGGCCTCAGAGCTATCTTCCGGTTTGCTCTGATCTTCAGATCCTGATTCATCCTCACATTCAGGACTGTGCTTAGAATGGAAGCCAGGTAAGGTAACCACGGCCTTCTTTTTGGCCGGCGGTTTTTTAGACCCTGAGCGAAGAGTGCGTGCGTATAGGAGTCGTCTTCATCTCCACAGTAGAACTGGATGTCGGCGGTTTCCCCAGCCAACAAGACAAACTTCCCTCTTGAATCCCTTGCTGGAAGTTTTCTCCGAGCCGTGGTGGACCCCTTAGCTTTCCTAGACGAGGCCGGACCAGGCGTGGTTTCTCGAGCGCTTGAGGTTTTGAAGTAGAGATAGTTGACCTTCTCTCACGTAAGGCCGGAGAAGGATTTTTAGCCGGCATTGTAGACAAATATGATCTCTCTGACAATCCGCTCAGGGATGGGGTAGGCGTTTTTCTTTTCCTGGTGGGGTCAGGTAGACTACTCAGAACTTCAGCTTCCTTCTTAAGAGCAGGAAATGGTAGGCTTTTATTAGCAGATGCCTTAGCTAGAGCTAGTAGACTATGTAATCCTTGAACCCCCTGTGCTTCCCTAGGAGACAGAGCAGCGAAGGAAGTACCCGGACGCAAGCGGCGAAAAACCATCTCCGGACTATTACCGTTAGCCTCTGCGCATCTAAATGATTATCCGGGAAATCCGAAACCCATCACGAATTCTAAGGTGTGGAAACAGCCAACATACTTCAAACCTTCTCTCTCCCTCCTCCCACTAGCACACCATTAGCCAATTGATCTACTCCCCCGTAAAAAAGAAGCCAACTTACGGAAATATCGTATCAAAACATCTCAGGCAACCTATAGTTCCAGGTAAACTCTGGCACCCTGGTAAACAAATAGGCTCACCTCCTACAGATAATCAATTAGCAAGGAGAACAGCCGCCGAAGTCATACCCAACTGTTATACGGAACAAGCCATCCGAGCGCAACCACAGGATCTGTGTACAACCCAGCGTCAGTGATAGTATTTTTCTCAGAGGTGACAGCTTCATCTGAGACCCCAATTTTCCGCGGCCTCCCATGGGATCGACGTTTTTCCCCAACCTGTTCCACCCCTGTAAGAACCTTTGGCACAGTACGAGGGACGGCAGGTACGATAATTTCCACAATAGGAGTAAGTCTTCTAGGGGCAGGCGTTACTGCTCGCTCTTGTGAGGCTAGAAAGGAATCATCATCCATCTTGTCCTCACCCTCCTTTTTATATGGCGTAGAGTCAGCGGTTGGGGCTACTCCGGCTTTTCCGGTTAGAGTTAGTTCCTCGGCTGCAGTAGTTGAAGCTTTCATAACTCTCGGAGGTACGGTTGCCCTGGAGTGTTGAGTCTTCCGGTCCCTCTTTGTTGGTATCATTGTCTGCTCCTTTCTTTTCCCAGAATCAGGCTTTGCCTCTTCTCTGGCAACGGCTCTCGGCGGGGATCGACTTTCCACCAGTAAATAAACCACCATCTGCTATACTTGCATCATCGGTAGAGGTCTCCACCTGAGTATGGCGATTCTGCGGCCTCTGCTGACTGGTGCGCTGTTCCCCGGTCACTGGCCGTTGGCTAGACGAGTCACTGCTCTCTATATACCCTTCCTGGACCCCAGCCGGGGATGTAGCTGTGACTCTTTCCACACTTCAGAATTATTAAGACCAAATCGGGAAGAACTCACTTCTGAAAAGATACGGCAGTCAAGCAGAAAAACGAAAAGGCTGGCGGGAAGGAGATAAGGCGTAAAGTATTACTAACCAAATTTAGATCAGATCCAGACTTAGACCCCCTAATCCTCATCACTGGCTCACCGACGGTATTCAAACGTCCCCCTGGCCCACCGATCCAAGCCCTAG